CTAAATTATAGGCAACTGAAGAGCCGATTTAACGCATTTTAATGTTTATAGCATTTTTAAAAATACATAAACTGTTTTAATGCCTTTTGTCTGTTTTTCACTGCTTTTCATTGGTATATATTTAAATTTTTGCCATTTTTAGTGCTCCTAGGACCCCTTTGGAAATAGGTTTTACTCTTTTTTCTTTTAAAGGAAACTTTAATGGGCCATCCTTATATCACCTTTTGTTGTTGTTTGTTTGCACATGATACACACCAAAAAAGTTGTATAAATAGTTAGATGATATCAAATAAATTGAACTTGAACATGATAAACACACAAAATTGGTTTGCTCTCACAATCGTGCGAAAAAAAACATCAGACACCTAAAATACCTCTTTGAGTTGACAAAATCCCTCTTAATATCATTAATTGAATAAAATTGAATTTAATTAAGTTTATGTAATGCACCTTAACTGAGAAGGAAGAGAATACACAAACCCACACAACTTCCATAATACTGCTACAAGGTAGTGATCCCCGCCCATGCATATAAGATTGACTAAACTTTTTTCATTACTGTCACATCCAGGATTTGATTTTTTTTTTTATGATGAGCGGTTTTACTATTTGCTAATTTCTTATAAGCAAAAACTGACGGCGATTAATACACAATTTCAAAATGTATAACTTACATTCCTGGAAAACCTGGTCACTAAAATTTGAATCTTTAGACCAAAGACCCTTCGGACAACGGACAATCGGACCAAAGACCCTTTGGACAAGACTTAAGACCATTCAGACAACGGACATAAGACCCTTCGGACCAACGAGCTTTCGGATCAAAGACCCTTCGGAGTATTAAGTATTAGAACTGTAACATGATGGTTGAGATAGTTGTTGTATATCATATACAGTCATGATGTGCCTATATATAGTCATGATGTGATGTCATCATGACCATATTTAGGCATGTCACATGCTTTATACTGACATAATTATTATTATTAGGAGGTGAAATGACATCACATCATGACTATATATAGGCATATCATGACTATATATGGGCATACTACAAGCATCTCAACCATCATATATGGATCAAGTAAATTAATAAAACAATGGGGTTGAATACCGTATATTCTTGCGTATAAGGGACCCGCGTATAAGACGATCCGAGTTTGACAAGATTTTTGGACAATTTTTTTATGTTGTGGGTATAAAAGACGGCCTCCCTGATTCATCCTCAGAATTCCTACATTTTTTCTAATTTTTATGATCTTGATACTGTATCTATCTGGCTAAAAACGGGTCCAATGCAAGGCTAATCTTCCAAAATAATACTATTTGATGAGTTTTATATGTTCATCAAAATCTTATTTCCTCGTATTTAAAATTGCGTTCATTCATACTAACATTTAGTAACTCCATTTTAGTAGTAAACTTGCATGTTACAGACGATCCGCATATAAGACAAGCGTGACTTAATCAATCTAAAATGTGTATGTCATGCACATAAGACAACCCCCCCTGTCATAATTCAATCATGAATTGCTATTTGAAGCCTTGTCTTATACGCGAGTATAAATATAGTAGCTTTGTGGTTAAGTTCGCACCGTATATCAAAAGTGATTTTGTGTTCACGAGAGGCTTGAGTGCTCTGCCTCAATCCCGAAGGACAAAAGATGCCTACGGAACAAGTAAGTAAGGTGCTTGTCTTCTAATCGCAGAGTTTAAATCCTGTGACAGCAGAACTTTTTCTCAAGAATAAAAACCACTCCACTCCGTAAGCCTCATAAAGAAACTTCACTGATAAAAACATCGCATTATTTCATATATTTAAAAGGGCCCCTGAATATAAACCAACCTTCTAGGATACACTGGAAGGGTTCCTTCTGTATATATGGTTAAAAAAAAAAGAAGTTGATGGCAGTGGGTGTGATGTCTAATTTTGAAAAGTAATGGAGATGTATACAGCATCTTTTTCCTGCTGTTAGAATCACTTCCTTGTATTTCTGAGTACCTGCACCTCCTTGTCAAGTTGTCTGACATTGATTTTGTAGAAGTTATCTTTAAAGCTAAGTTCCGGAGGAAACAAATTTTTTGATATGTTGTAGCTGGCAAAAAGGGTGTAAACAAAAAAAAACTTGGAAATGGTATGAGATACAGAGTTTCGAATACAGTATTTAAAAACTGGGTGAAAACAGTGCATAACCACCCTTTATTCACCTTTTTCACTATGTTGTCGTCTAGCAGTTAACCTTGTAAGATTGAGTAAATCCGGTATGGAGGAATGATGGGATGAGTCATGAGCTAAAGACAAAAATGAATATAAGACCTGTCCTAGAAAGTTCACTAAAAAGTCACTACAGTAGACAACACCACACATTTCCTGATAACCGAATCCCCATGTGGATACTTTATTAGTAAACATAATACCTGTACAGTAAGGCAGAATAGGGCATAGACATAGCTCTCGTTGGGAGACTATTTTTAATATTAGGGAGCTTTGAGATTTACTCATGCATGACCTTCTTAAGTCCTCTGCACAACATAGATTGCTAAATTGCATCCTAGAATCCATGCGGCTGCGAGAATTCAACGTTCTTGCATGCGCAGATGACTTAATGTGATGTCATTACTTTCTATGTACTACCGTCATCATGCAATCGAAAGCCTCTACTGTCTGGTAACTGGGGGTTCGGATATTTGTAGTAGTGGTTAAAAAAGAGGGGGCACTAGATTAAAGAATATATTAGCAAAAGTGCCAAAGGAGGTACTGAGCATGGAGGTAAGAGATCTGAAGAATTGTTTCCTCTCGGAACACTGATGATTAAAAGTACTTTCTTACTGATTTAGATGTTATAATTTCCAAGCACTCTCCCATCTTTCAAG